GTCCAGGCATAGAGGTGGGAGGAAGGCTGTGTCCAGTGAGGTGAGGATCAGGAGGATAAAGGAGGGAGAGATGATGTCATGAGAAATCCAGGTGAGAGGTAGGAATAAATAATTTGGGGAATTCTGGGATAGTTCTGGAAAAATGAACAGAAGCCATAAGGTTAAGGAAAAGGAGAGACAATGAAAAGAAACTGAGATGGTGCTAGCAACTGGCTTCCAGGCATAGGGTGGCAGGTAGTGACCTCGTTTTCTTCCTCCACCTCCTTGTAGGAATGGTCAAACCCATGGTTGCTCTGTCCAGGCTCCAAAAGCTTTCCTAGACATTCCTGAGGCAACCTGACCAAGCCCAGTGAGCAGTAACAGGACTAGATGTTGGCAGAGAGAACAACATGTGTAGACCCTCAAAGCAAAAAGAAAGGAATTACAGATGAAAACAACCAAATTTTGGAAAAGCAGATGGACGGCTGTGGTGATGGACACAGCAGACCCAAAAAGCCGACACAGGACATAAGCCTTGACGAAAGCTGATTTGCCCACACAGAACCCCAGAAAGGCTCAGAAATTTGATTAGCAGGCGCCCTACAGAATGGAAGATAAATACGGAACTATAAACAAGGAGCTCTGTAGGAGTTCTATTTAAGAAACCATGATGTCAGGGCTGTAGAAAAGGGAATCTATAAGATGCTCAACCCTTATTCATTAAACTTTCACATTATCGCCTAAGTCAAGGAAACGTGAATGCCTTCAAAACTGAACTCAACCTTCTCCTTACTGGGAGACAGTCTGTGTTTGCTCAGATCCAGAAATATATTATTTTGGTGACCTTGGGCAAACAGGACTTGGCAGTGGTAAGAATGGCTAGGAAATGTTTACTATCAGCTGAAGGGCTTCCTTACAACCTGCCAACAGGACTTATGAGCAGATTCTCCCATCTCTCCCTTTTTCAAAGCTTCACCTTCGATATCACTTCCTAGCTTGCATCAACACCTTCTTCATTATCAGCATCCTAAGACTTTATAGTGTGAGAATGAAGTGACTTTTATGACAGCAAATGTCATACTAATGTAAATGATCATATTTATTACCATGACAGTCACTAAATTTAGCTCAAGGTTTTGAGTTGCAAAGACAACGTTTTGTATTAGAGCGAGATACCTTTTATTAAAAAAAGGTCAATTAAATCTTTAAGGAGGCTCCATATGGTTTTGTCACACTCTTCGATAGTATTATATTCATAAATCATAACATCTACTGTGTGACCAGTTCTGCATATTGCTCTGCTCTGTTCTTTGTAGGAGGACCCCGCATTGCTTAGACTTTAAGCTAAAAGGGGATGACATTTGTAGAACTTTCCCTGTGTAAGATCACTCACAAATCAATTTTCAGAGAATGTCAATTAATGCTTCTTGATATCTGTTTTACAATTCAAAAGATAATACAACAGTACAGCCCAAGATTGCTTCCACTATTCTGGTAGAACTTATGACATTTATCCTCTGGAAAAGAGAAGCCTCCAGAAACCCCAGGAAGAAGAAATATTGAGCAAACAGGGGAATAAAACAAAGTCTGCTTTTTCCTTCAACTCCCTTTCACATTTGACTCACTTCACACTTTTAGATTCCTGTCTGAGGAATCTGAATTGTCCACAAATAAAAACTGAAATACACTGACAGTCATGAATCCCATGACAAAATGTCCTTTACAATGAAACCAATCAGTCCACAAATTCCACTCAGGCACACGGAGCCTGTAGTTCAGGATTTGTTTTGGGGAGCTTCATGTGTGTTTCTGTGTATGAAGTCGATATTTAATGAAATCCTCTAGGGTAAAGGACAGAGGCCAAAATAAACTAAAAGATAACAGATATTGGCAAAAATAGAGACAAGGCAAAGAGGAGAAATTTTCAAAAAAATTATTGCTAATATTCTGAGAGATATGAGATAATAAATAACAATACAAAATAACATGGTACAAAAAGAGGCATTTTCAGAGAACAGAGGTATAGAAGATAAATCTCTCAAGAAGTACATGAAAAGTAAGAGAAGGAAAATGGGATAAAAAGATTAGAAAATTAATAAGTCAGCCCAGGAGGACCAACTTTAAAAAGTTAGTTTCAAAGACAAAAGAATAAACAAACAAATATAATATAAGGAAGAAATGGGCAGAAAGGATAGCAATAAAAAGGGAAAGAGAAAGGGATGGAGAACTTCGTTTTTCATTTAATTTCCAAGTACCTAGACTTGTAAGACATGAGTCTCCAGACAGAAAAGGCCTACAAATTTCCCAGGAAAAATGTATAAATAAGACCAGGCCCAGTAGAAGTCATCACCAGCTTAGAGATTACTGACGCTTCACAGAAGATAATAAAAATTCCCCCCAAAAGGAAAACAAGACCAGCTTGGGTGTAGAGTCAAAGAAATCAGAAAGGAAATGATGTCTCATTGTGTGTCCTGGAAGTCAGAAGATGGTGCCATGTCCTCTAATCCTGGCACAGAAATGTTTCCAACCTAGGATATGACACGGATAAATAGAAGGGTAGAAAAAGGACATTTCTGGATGTGAGGACTTAACAATTCATCTCCTAAATACTCCTTAGCAGACAGCTACTGAAAGCAGGGCAGCAAGAAAATTAAAAACAAACCAAAGAAACCAATTTAGGATCTAGGAATTGAGGGGGCCAGTAAAAAAAAGAAAGAAAGAAAGAAAAAAGAACTGAAAGGAATTCCCAGGACAATGGTGAAAAATAAGCCCAGATGGTCAGAGACAGCAAGAGGTAGAGACCAATCCTGTCAAAAAAATTTTTTTTAAATATTTTTATTTATTTCTAGGAGAGAGAGAGAGAGACAGCGTGAGCAGGGGAGGGTCAGAGAGAGAGGGGGTCACAGACTGAAACAGGCTCCAGGCTCTGAGCTGGCACTCAGCACAGAGCCCGACGCGGGGCTCGAACCCACGAACCACGAGATCATGACCTAAGCGAAAGTCGGACGCTTAACCGACTAAGCCACCCAGGCGCCCCCAATCCTGTCAAAATTAATTATCACACATGATTAGTGGGATGTTGGGGAAAGAAAGTTTCTGCACCAGAGAGAAAAAAATGAGTGGAGAGGAAGAGTGGTTGGTGACAGAAGGCAAATCCTCATTTCCATCATGGAAAATCAGGAGATACTTTTCCGTTAAGAATCTACTAGGGGCACCTGGGTGGCTCAGCCGGTTGAGCATCCGACTTCGGCTTCGGTCATGATCTCACGGTTCCTGGGTTCAAGCCCCGCATTGGGCTTTGTGCTGACAGGTCAGAGCCTGAAGCTTGCTTTGGATTCTGTGTCTCCCTCTCTCTCTGACCCTCCCCTGCTCATACTGTCTCTCTCTCTCTCTCTCTCTCTCTCTCAGAAATAAATAAAACATTAAAAAATTTTTTTTAAAGAATCTACTAAATATCCAGTAAGATACTTATTCTGTTTAGAGAAACAGAGGTGATTCTAAAAAGAAGATCTAAAATACTGACTGTATTTGGTTTGGGGAAGGAGAAATTGTTGGGGGGGGTTGCAGGGTGCTTTTCTCTAAAATTTCTAAAACCATTAGATTTTTTTATCTCTTCACTATAACTTTAACACAAATAATTATCAAACAAAATCAAAATTGTAGTGCTTTTGCTTTCAGGCTGTCATACAAATGCATTAAACAATCTGGTTTCAATCTTGAAAAACAAAAAGTTGTTACTAGTGGCTTTGGCATGTTCTCTTTGGGGCTGGGGGGAGTGGCGAAGATTATTTGGAAGACCAGTCACTTTATATTTTTAGCAAGAAAAGAGCCATACAGATAGATTGGTTAAGTACCTTCTGAAGAAGTTTTTAAAGCCTATCATTTCTGAAATGTTATTGTCTCTTTTAAAGTCCAAAGTCAGACTGAATGTATGCCGACAACTTGATATACATTAGCCTTTTCCAGTTCATGTATCAAGACCGTTCTAAATGAAGTCAAAAGCACAGTCTACTCTCCAGTCTAAAAGAGATCATTGTTAGCCTCCAAACAGTAAAAAAAAAAAAAAAAAAAAGAGAGAGAGAGAGAGACACAGACAGGCGTGCGTGCGCGCCTGCACACACACAGAAGAGGAAATGGAAAAAAAAAGTAAGAAAACTTTTTATTTAATAGTAGTTTGCTTGCAATACTGCCTGTGCTTAGGAAATAAGAGACAATATTTTTAATGTGCTTACTTCAAACCTCCAATCATCTTCACACTAACTACAAAAGCGTATTTAGCCTACCATAAATGCCATTCAACTTTTCCTAAGAATCAATTGAGATTAACATTTTTTTAAATTTTTAGGCAGTTTAATTATTCTTTTTATTTTGGTGTGTTGTTATTTTACATCCCCCCACCCCCCAAAAGGGGTGAATGATCCTATTTTGTATCTTCTCCCAAACCTGCAGGACTTCCAAGACTTCCTGTTTGTCACATGTTCTGATCACCCTAAGGAAAAACTGGGAGAGCCAGCTACAGGTGCTTAAATTACAGCTATAGCTGGATTGTGTTTAGGATTTAACATGGTACAACAGAATACAGAAGACCATTTCAAAAAAGACTAATGGATTTGGAATCCAGGAAGATAATTAGAAACGACTTCAGCTAATCTCTTCCTTTTATGTATCAGGAATCTTAGGGAACAGAGAAGCTCGTAGTTATCTGGCCGAAGAAGTTGGTCAAATTTCACACTCTAAGCAACTGCACTGGGTCAAAGGCTTCGGACATGCCAGTGTCCTTCACTGAATTGAGCTTAAATAAAATCTTTCTAAATGAGACAGTGGCCAAGTGAACATGGTGATTTGCCACGTTGCAATTAGAGCAATTAGCTTTTTTCATCCAGGCTTAAGGCTTCTAAGATCTAAGAGCCTCAGGACTTCTTGGATGCTTTCTCAGATGTTTGCGGAATACCCAAGGTGACTGCCGTTACTTTGCAAATATGTTGCTTTCTTTTTAATTCTCAAGGACAAATGGATCATACCTGTGGTTCCAGAGGTAAAGATGTAAAGATGAGCAGACTTGAGGCTCGACGTGGCATGGTGGCAGCGTGGCACTGGCTTGTCGGATGCCATGCTCAGTTTTTCTTTGAGTGAAATCATGCCTCGTGGAGCAGAATCACTCATTGCCCAAACACTGATACCTCCTGGGAGACTCGGAAGGATGTCTTCGACAGTTCCAAGCAAATCTAAAAACCAAAGGTTTACGAATACATAAATAAACCATAAATCGCAACCATTAACCTGTGTTTTCTTTTCTCTGTTGGAACAGGGATGATAAGTAAATATAACACTGACTTCCTTTCCATTAGGACAACTAATATCATAGCCATTTTATGATTCTGATTCAATAGGACCAGATGAAAGGGAAATCTGGTTATCATCTGACTTAATAAGTTCAAATAGGCTGATTCAAATTGAATTTCAGAGACACCATTGTTCAGATTATGCTTTTTTCCAGTTTTTAGATGGAACTCTGTTTTTATACCCTGCTTTAAATCCACACTCAGGACACTACAGTAAACGTTTTCCTTGAAATACATCTCAGTAGCTCATTATTCCCCCCAAAACTGTCTGTCACTGTTTAATTCTACCATAAGGCAATACATCCAGGAGATTCGCCGGACCCTTCTGGTATCAAGATCACTGTGATTTAGAGACCTTTTCAGAGTCGAAAATTAAGTTAAGGAAATTTAGAGATGTGCTTCTCTCCGGATCAGGATAATGAAAAATCAGTTTTGGGTCATCTGGGTGGCTTGGTCGGTTGAGCATCCAACTTTGGCTCAGGCTGTGATCTCACGGTTCATGAGTTCAAGCCCTGCACAGGGCTCACTGCTGTGAGCCTGTCAGTGCTGAGTGCACTGTGGATCCTCTGTCCCCATCCCTCTCTGCCCCTCCTTTGCTTGCACTCTCCCTCTCAAAAAATAAAACATTTTAAAAGTGAAAGTCTTTGAAAGCAAAAGGAGGAAATGAACCCCATCCAGAAAAGGCAGTAAGATCCTCAGTTCCCAGCAAGGAGCAACAGTGGCAGGTAGGAGCAGGCTGATGACAGCAGCACCCTCCGTCAGCAGCAGTGGGACCCAAGGCCAAGCAAAAAGGGAGGCTGAGGAGTAGAAAAGCCTGAAACACTGGTGTGCTCAGGCCTGAAGATCTTGAGAGTCTCATAAGACAAAGAATCTGGGTTGCAATAAAGGTTTCAGACAGGAGAACAGGACACCTCTCCCAAGAGGCATCTACCATATAGGGAACGACAAAACACCTGGAGAGGAGAGGCTATGTTACGTTAATTTGGGAGACTGAACCAAACCTTCTTAATCTGGTCATTAATGTAGACGAAAATGTCATCTGCTCAGGGGGAGAAGTAGGTAGAGAAAAAGCACGACAGAAGATGGGCATGAGTCCCTGAGGAGGAAATATTTAGTAAGGCACCCAGCACACTGTAGGATATAAAGCAAGCAGGGCATCTCATTCTTGGAGAGTCTTTGTAGAAGCCAGTGAGGAGGCCTTCTCTTTTTTTCCAGAGTAGAGACACAGTTATAATGTATTTTAAATTCTTTTAAAATTTAACACTTCCTACTTTAATATGGATCTCTATCAGTGAAGTTTGACTTTCCCATTCCACAAGGTGCTCCGATTTTAGTTTGGTATTCCTATAAAATGTCTCAGTTGCCTGAGATATAAGGGATTTCTGAGGGCTACATTCATTTATCTTAAAATCTACATTATTGTCATTGAAGATATGAAAAACTAATACCCCACTAGTCTGTAGAGTTAATGCAAGGAATGCCAAAATTATCAACAACCACCAAAAGCTAGGATGAGTCAAGGGAAGATTTTTTTCTTAGACTCTTTAGAGAGAGCTGGGCCCTCCAACAGTTTTATTTTGGACTTCTAGCCCCAGAACTCTGAGAAAATAAATTTCTGTTGTTTTCAGCAACCTGGTGTGTGATACTTTATTTTAGCAGCCCTGGGAAATTAATACACCAAGGTCACAAGTTGGTGGACAGAATTGTTATCCTTTTTTAAAAAAATTAATTAATTAATTTTTGAATTTATATCCGAGTTAGTTAGCATATAGTGCAACAACGATTTCAAGAATAGATTCCTTAAAGCCCCTTACCCATTTAGCCCATCTCCCCTCCCACAACCACTCAAGCAACCCTCTGTTCTCTGTATTTAAGAGTCTTTTATGGTTTGTTCTCCTCCCTGATTTTATATTATTTTTGCTTCCTTTCCCTTATGTTCATCTGTTTTATACATATTATATTATTATTCATATAATTGAAGTCATATGATATTTGTCTTTCTCTGACAAATTTTACTTAGCGTGATACCCTCTAGTTCCATTCACGTAGTTGCAAATGGCAAGATTTCATTCTTTTTGACTGACAAGCAATACTCCATTGTATATATACACCACATCTTCTTTATCCATTTATCCATTGATGGACATTTGGCCCTTTTCAAACTTTGGCTATTGTCGATAGCACTGCTATAAACACTGGGATGCATGTGCCCCTTTGAAACAGTACACCTGTATCCTGTGGATATATGCCTAGTAGTGCACTTCTGGGTTGTAGGGTAGTTCTGTTTTTAATTTTTGAAGAACCTCCATACAGTTTTCCAGAATGGCTGCACCAGTTTGCATTCCCACAAGCAGTGCAAAAGAGATCCTCTTTCTCTGCATCCTCACCAACATCTGTGTTTGCCTGAGTTGTTAATGCTAGTCATTCTGATGGGTGTGAAGTGGTATCTCATTGTGGTTTTGATTTGTATTTCCCTGAGGATGAGTGATGTTGAGCATTTTTTCAAGTGTCTGTTAGCTATCTGGGTGTCTTCTTTGAAGGAGGGTCTATTCATCTTTTACTCATTTCTCCACTGGATTATTTGGTTTCTGGGTGTTGAGTTTGATAAGTTCTGTATAGATTTTGGATACTAACCCTTTATTTGCTATGTCATTTACAAATGTCTTCTCCCATTCCATCAGTTGCCTTTTAGTTTTGCTGATTGTTTCCTTCGTTGTGCAGAAGCTTTTTATCTTGATGAGGTCCCAATAGTTCATTTTTGCTTTTGTTTCCCTTGTTTCTGGAAATGAGTAAGATATTGTTGAGGCTTAGGTCAAAGGGGTTTTTATCAGCTTTCTCCTCGAGGATTTTGATGGCTTCCTGTCTTGCATTTAGGTCTTTCCTCCATTTTCAGTTTATTTTTGTGTATGGTATAAGTAACAAGAAGAGATAGAAAATTTGAACAAACCCATAACCAGCAAAGAAATTGAATTAGTAATAAAAAATTCTTCATAGCATTATGGTCTGAAAATATACACAGTATGATCTCAGTCTTTTTGTACTTGTTGAGGGCTGTGATGTATTCTGGAGAAAATTCCACGTGCACTCAAGAAGAATATATATTCTGCTACTTTAGGATGAAATATTCTGAATTTATCTATTAAGTCCATCTGGTCCAATGTGTCATTCAGAGCCATTGTTTCCTTGTTGATTTTCTGTTTAGATTATCTTTCCATTGCTGCTAGTAGGGTGTTGAAGTCCTGTACTATTATGGTATTATCATCAATGAGCTTATGTTTGTGATTTATACATTTAGGTGCTTCCACATTTGGAGCATAAATGTTAACAATTTTTAGATCTTGGTGGATAGACCTGTTAAGTATGATAGAATGTCCTTCTTCATCTCTGGCTATAGTCTTTCTTTTAAAATCTAGATTGTCTAAGTATCGTTTTCTTTTGGGGACCATTAGCATGATAGATGGTTCTCCATTCCCTTACTCTCAATCTGAAGGTGTCTTTAGGTCTAAAATGGGTCTCTTGTAAACAGCATATAGATGGATCTTGTGTTCTTATCCACTGTGTTACCTTATGTCTTTTGATTGGTGCATTTAGTCCATTGACCTTTAGAGTGAGTACTGAAAGATATGATTTATTGCCATTATGTTGCCTGTAGAGGTGGAGTTACTGGTTGTGTTCTCTGGTCCTTTCTAGTCTTTGTTGATTTTTTTTCCCTTTTCTCCCCTCAGAGAGTCCCCCTTAAAATTTCTTGCAGGCTTGGTTTAGTTGTCACAAACTCCTTTAATTTTTGTTTGTTGGGAAACTTCTTGATCTCTCCACCTTTTCTGAATGACAACCTTTCTGGATAAAGAATTCTTGGCTGCATATTTTTCTGATTCAGTACACTGAATATATCCTGCAACTCCTTTCTGGCCTGCCAAGTTTCTGTGCACAGGTCTGCCGCAAAGTCTTAAGGACTTTTTTCCCTTGCTGGTTTCATGATTCTTTCTTTGAGTATTTGACTATGATATGCCTTGCTAATGGTTGTTTTTTGTTGAATCTAATAGGTGTTCTCTGTGCCTCCTGGATTTTGATGTCTGTGTCTTTCCCCAGGTTAGGAAAGTTTTACAATATGACTTGCTCACAGAAGCCTTCTACTCCTTTTGCTGTCTCTTCATTTTTTGGGACCTCTATGATTCAGATGTTATTCCTTTTTAATAAGTCACTAAATTCTCCAATTCTTATATCAGGCTCTTTTACCGTAGTTTCCATCTTTTTTTCTGCTTCATTATTCTCCATAAATTTGTTCTCTATATCACTGACTCCCTGGTCTGCTTCATCTATCCTTCCCACTGTGGCATCCATTCAAGACTGCAGCTCAGTTATAGAATTTTTAAATTTCATACTGAGTAGGTTTTACTTCTTTAATCTACACAGAAAAGGATTCTAATCTATTTTCTACCCCAGGTAGTAATCTTACTATTGTGATTCCAAATTCTGGTTCAGACATCGTGCTTGTATCTGGATTGATTAGGTCCCTGGCTGTCATTTCTTCCTGTTCCTTCTTTTGAGGTTAATTCCTTCATTTCATCATTTGAAGTTAGAAAAGGAATTAATAAAGTAAAAAAAATGTTTAATTAAAAAGAACACAAAAAAATAAAATAAAACGTACTAGAGCCTAGGTATATTTTGGTCTGGTGTTGAGAGAAGTTTGAGAGATTAGAGAAAAAAGGAAAAATAAAAAGAGGAAAAAAGAGGGGAAAAAAGGAAAACATTTGAAAATTTGAAAAAAATGAATTCAGTAAAGTAGAAAAAATTAAACAATGAAAGTAAAATAGAATTTTAAAACTTTACACAAATGTAAAAAATACAGTAGAAAAAATAAAAGAAAAATCTTAATTGGAAAA